AACTATAGATTGGAGCCTAAAAGCTTCCCTTTTATTTGTGTAATGTATACATTCAACTTTTATATTTGTCACTATATACTAATACATAATAACATAACATCTTCATTACAACTTATTAATTCATGGGCATTGCAGTGCCCGCTACATTAAGACAGCTAAGTTCGAAAAGTGATAAAGCATACTGAGAGAACTGGAGTAAGCACAGGCATCCAATGTTGTGGACTATATAACCCTTGACCCAAAACAGTATATAACTGTCACTAATCCTTACTAATCCCCTTTGTTTGAGACTGGGAAATAAACATTGAGGGGAGGGGACGAGGCGAACCAGAAGCTAAGGGGGACTGTTATACGAGCTTTACTCTGTAAACAAGTTATACCCTGCACTAGCAGGACCCGCGGAAATCCGCGGGTCCTGCTAGTACCTAACAAACATGAAAAGCACTGCTAAAATTTATTTCTGATTTTAAAAAAATAAATAAAAAAAAGTGTCGGCCGCCATCTTGAAAAATAGCCCGAATGTCAGGGAAAATGTACGGAGCGGCCATTTTGAAAGAAAGAAAAAAAAAAAAAAGGGTCTCCTCCCCATTTTTCGAAAAAACAGGACGCTAAACATTTTTTTTTTTTAATTTGGCCTTATATAAAAAAAAAAAAACGATCCAACTGTACCGGTAGTTATTCTTTAAGCCACTGGAACTGCGTAGAGTTTCGTAGTGTGGCGTACCGACTATGCAGAAATTAGGCTGCGTATTAATGGGAAAATAGTCCCTGCGTAGGTTATGCGTAGGCTGGCGTACAGGTTTGCTTATGGTTGCTTACTGTGTGGAGAGCTTTTACTGCTTTGTCGATCTGGCGTAGGGTAGCGTACTGTTGTGTAGGCATGTAGCGTAGTGTTGCGTAAAAAGGCGTACTTTCTGCGTCAAGTTTCTACGCCGAAAGTATGCGAAAAAAATTAAACATGTTGAATTGTTTTTGTTCATCTTGCGTACCCCTTTCCGTCCCTCAGCATATAGTAACGTAGGCCAGCGTAGTTGGTACGCAACACTACGCAACTCTACGTATTGACCCCACGCCAATTAGTAACCCACAAGTGTCACAAATAAAGTATTAAAAATATGCTCATCTGACCCTAATTAAACGCCAAAAACCCAGAGCTTTCGGGGGTTTATGGCCCCTTGAAACCCGTGGACCCCACACCTATATACACTCAACCCGCTGCGATCTAACTGACCCCCCCCCCCCCCCCCCCCCCCCCCCCCCCCCCCCCCCCCCCCCCCCCCCACTTTGAAAAATGTTTCTTGGAGCCTTCATGTAACATGTGAGAATGGTGCATGGTGATGCCGATTTTTTTCTGCACCCCCCCCCCCCCCCCCCCAAACAATTTTACTCATTACGCAACTGATTGTTTTGCAATGCATGAAGTCACATGCTTCTGTCTGCATGGTTGATATTGAACTATTAATATGCAAGTGTACAATTCATAACCTTATTCATGCAATGCTTTCTTGTAATTTACTGTAAAGATAAGAAACAAATTTGTGCCACTTCGGCCCGCACGCTGTTGTGTTGACGGGTTCTTCGATGGATGGAAAGACGTATGTGTAGTTATATAGTTGTACGAATATTGGCCTGCTTGGCCCCCCAAACTCTTCGACTCTAGCGCAGCTCAGTCTTGGTCAAAGCGCCCCAGCCGCAGCACCGTGTATACTGTATGTGTTGACTGAAGTTAGCTTGCGACTGAACTGTCAGTCCAATGGTTTTCTTGTGAAAACTTTCCTTTAGAAAATGATAATTAAAATTAAGTATAAATGGCCGTAATAATCACAAAATAAGCTTTGATTTCATACCTCCATTCACGAAAACTATATAAAAATCGCGGCAATCATGATGGAAATAGGTCTCTAAGTTTGGACGTCGACGGGAATTAGCCCTGTGTATCTCTCTGGCTTGTGCAGCGAGTACAAAGCACACCCTATAGTAAGATGGCTTACTCGGGGGTTATCCCGCCCTTTGCATAGAGCATTTAATACGTAACATAATGTGAGTTGATGGTCATCTGTTGTGTGTCTGTTTGATACAGCTACTACAAAGCACATCCTAGCTACTACAAAGCACATCCTAGCTACTACAAAGCACATCATATATAGCAAGACGCTTTACTCTGGGTAATCCCGACCCTGTGCATATAGTGCATTTAATACGCAACTTAATGTGAGTGGATAGTCATCGGTTGTGTGTCTACGGATGTAATGTTGAGTATAGCCAATTCCACAGAGTAGACTCTCCCGCGGACGATGGCACCGGGCACGGGTACCCCGAGGGAAGGGTTCAGGAGGAGATAGCCGCACCAACTTCGGTCGGCGATCTCATTAAAGAACAATAGAATACAAAGGCTCGCGGAGACGTCGCGCCCCCCGCGGAGCCTTAGCGTATTACTTATATAGATTAATTAGTTCACAGTACCCTTAACTCCAGAATGAAAACTGAACCCTTGTGTAATTTAGATAAGGTCTCTAGTCTCTAATCTTTATCAGCTGGGGCGGTTCAACAAACACCACAGAGAAAGGAGGCATAGCAGGGGGAAGGAAGGGAAACTGTTACATGCGAGCTCAACTCTGCAAACAAGTTTCCTCTTAAGCCTCTCTCTACACACCATCCTCACCCTATGAGTGTAAGCTACACGCCCCGGTTTAGTTTGAGTAACGTTTCCCTAACTATGCCTCTACGTATTCTATGGGTACAACTGAGCAAACACCGAGGCCAAGGAGGGATGACAGGTACGAGAGACAGGGAACTGATACCACAAGATTTACTCTGCAGTCAGATACCCCATGGTCGATCTCCCCTGTACATCACCTGCCGATTGAACAACTGTGTAGCCTCCCTTAATATTCACTAAGTTTATTTGGACCCCGGCTTAACCCTTTTTGGAGATTAGGGGGCCTGCGTACCCATAACGGGGGAGGGATGAGGCTGGGAGGATGACCGGCGACAGGGGCAACCAACGTCGACACGGGTACAGTTAGCAAACACCGAGGCCAAACGGTAGAAATGACAGGTTTTCGTTATAGAGACACAACGAAGGAACTGAACTGCGAGATTTACTCTGCAGCCAGGTAACCTGCGGACTCCTCCCTGTACGTTGCATACCGAACCAAGGTGTAGCTTCACTGTAGGTGTTGACTAGATTGGGCCGCTGCCTCCAGATCCGCCGTCTCCCCCCTCATCCCCGAGATGGTATAGCTTGTACCTAGTTAAGTTGGGATGCCTGGCTTCTCAGTCTCTGCGATTATTTTAGATATGGCTCGGTTCTCCTCCTTTCTGCTTCTGAGTGTCTAACTGACTTTTTAGCTAAAATTCTACCTTCTTTATACCTTTCCAGCAAGCCCCTATATCCCCCAAAGCATGGGAATACATCAGGTTTGCAAAAGAGTTACTTCTGCTTATTACACATTATATACATTTTAGTATGACTTCCCCATAGGGAGCTGTACTAAGCGAGTGCAACTAATCTCTCTTATTATAAACAACGACTATAATAGTATGCTTTAACCCATCCCTTGCTTATACTACAATATTACATGACCTGAGGCTGGGAGCAGGGCTGTGTGGCATGGAAGGGGTTACTAGAAATAGGCACAGGCTTTCATTGTCTGGAATTTGTCAGTGAAGTTAAAAGAGATTATTTAACCCTCTACTCTCCCTCGGGTTAATACCCATTAGGGATATGAGTAGTATTTTGTATTGTATTTTGTATTTGTATTTATTAACATTTATTTCCTTCTCAACTGCACAATATAAAACACAATGTATATATATACATGATATATGTAACAATTATTTCAACATAGAGTATACAGTAATTAATTCAGATACGGAAGGAGGCGAAAATCCGGAAAGCGTAGCTTGAGTTGGGAACGCCCATAATAAATTAACACAGTTACCGAAAGAACATTATAGATATTATTATGAAAATTACATTTCTTGTATTTCTTGTAGTAGAGTGGATGTTTGAGGGTAAATGGGTTAAATGGAAATAGAATAATAGTTGTCCTTCTACCCTCGAAAGAGGGCCTGCTTAAAGTGCCATTTCGTCACAATAATTATTAAGAAAAGGGATGGACGAAAACAAAACATACAGACGGCCTATTGATGTAGGGGCTCACTATGTATATAACAACTATTTTGGGGGTTCTTCATATGGTCAAAAATATGGTCAAACTATATATCAATTTAAAGCTCTTTATGAGAGAAATCAACTGATGAAAAGATGATTGATATTGGATATTATATTATTAAGTAATGGCTTGTCAAAGATACTCATCTCCTATGGGTCTTCTGCCACACTTCTTGGAAGATAATTAACTATGATCTGTAGCTGACATTAATCTTCATCATCAGGCTATTAAAAATATCCTACTTAAAACAAAATGCAGCTTTTGATATAAGGAATGCAGTGACCAAGGTATTGCAATAGAAAGTCCCTAGTAGAGGCTATCACTTTTAAATTCTGCCTTGCCAGAAAGGAGACCAAAAAAAAGGAACACCTCACTACGGGGTATTATGTGACTGGCAACCCATCTCCAAGTGATGTTTGTCGATACAGTAACTATCTTCTTCCAGACTGCTACGCTTATCTTATGCAAGTTCTCCGGAGATCTCTGCATATGGTGCAGTACATGATCTATGCTCATTTTGCGCTGTGGAAGAATCCCGGGCGTCTTGATTGATGACGACACAAAATCACAAAATCACCTTTTGCTGTCCAAATATAAAATTTCTTGAATATGAATCCTGCGATCGAGGCTCATATTCTTGGCTGGTCCCAGTCATTTTTGCCAAAGGCCGGTTTAAGGAGGCGGCAGCAGCAAAAAGGTTTACAGCATTGAAAGCTAAAAAATAACACTTATGCTATGATACAGGATCTTTATTCCCTCTGTTTTATGTACATAATGTATTTATTTCTAAATATTTTTTTCAGGTATTTGTTTCCTATGTCATCACCATTTTCTAGAGGACTATAATTCTGTCAAATGAGAAGGACATCTTACACCATGGATGGATTCTGCCTTCTCTACCTGCTCCTGATCCTCTTGATGAGATCTGGTGACGTTGAAACCAATCCAGGTCCTAACACTGCAGAAAGGTATGCATACTAGTAACCTTTGGGAATAGATGATAAAGTTGAGTTCAGGTCCAGCAATTGTCTTACGAAAGATACTGTGGAAGCGATTGGAAATGTTGATCATGTAGTGCATGTATTGGTGTATACTCTGAGGGTAAGGAGTTGTCAAAATGATAAATTTGCCCAGAAAAAAGTCGCATGCACTGGACACAGAAATGTTCATATAAGACTACACAAAAATGTTGCATGAAATTGTATTCCACAATAAATTACTTGTCATATTTCAAATGTGAGGGTATTTGAAGAGCCATCTTTTTCATGGAACTTTTTTTTCTAAGATACTCACCAACATAAAAAGAATGAACAAGCTAAACAAATTATTTTCACCTTTCCCAGAACTCAACCTTCTTATCAATGTGACACTTAAAATTACCATATTATCAAAGAAATTCAGTGATTACAAAATATGCAAGATACAGATAATAATTATGATGATGATGATGGTCATCATCATCATCATCAATTCTATGTACCGGTAAACATTATTATTATTAGAAGTAGGAGTAATCCTTTTCTTCTTCCTCTTATTATTATTATTATTATCATCATCATTATCATTATTGTATTTACTGCCACACTCTACATCTTTTGGAATGATTACCCTTGCCAGAACGATACCGTCCTCGCCTGCAATTTGGGGCAATATGTCTCAAATGTTCAATAATTTCATAGGCAATTTTTATTCTCATATCCCCAGGCTGTTATAATGCAAGCTGGGGCATATAATACAAATTGTTTAGTGTTTAGCTTCTCAGCCAAAAGGATGTTCTCTAACTAATATCCTATCATTCCCAATTGATTTATTATTCATTTTACAGTACTGTCAGTGACATGGAGTTCCTGAAGCTGGCCCAGGATATCCAACCATCTTACTACGATGCTGTAGGGACATCTCTAGGGTTCTCCTATGCTCAGCTAGAGAACATCCTGATTCAGAAGTCAAATAGCCATACCCATGCATTTTTTGACGTATTCATGAAATGGAATGTCGTGCAGCAACGTCCACACTTAAACAAACGACAGCTTTTGGCAGACAAACTACGAGAGATTGGCTTGGAAGGCCTATCGGACAGATTGCTCAATGAATCTCCATTTCCAAATTACAGCACAGGTAAACAGATACCAATTCTTGCTACACCACAAGATATAGAAAACCATGCATAAACGTGAAGTCAGTTTTTACTAAAGAGATAATGAATGCTCTATTTTTTATACATTTGCCACAATTTACAGCTTGTGTCAAATTTTAGCAGGCCCCATGCATGTTTTTTTAATAATTTACTTATTTAACTTTGTTTATCCTAGATATTTTCTGGACACCAATATATAGTACAAGTACTCTGAGTGACAGCAGAATTCAATTCATGTCAGCTTTCTCTACTTGCACATGTTCTACAAACAAATTAAATTTATTTGCATCATTCCATTATGTTAACTGTATTTATGCATTCGCCCATCAAAAAGGGTGCCATAGATAATATGTTTTAGGGTTGTCTGACCGTACGTTCCCCTTCTTTGTTATTGCGATATCTCAAGAACCCCTTGAGATATGTACTTCAAACTTGGTGATAGTATGAATCACAATAAGAACATGAGCAAGTAGGCCAAAGGTCATAGAGGTCAGTTTAAGAAGTTACAGGTATTAGCCTCCTTATCGCGATATCTCAATGACAACTAGAGGTATCAACTTTCAAGGTTATGATAATACCACCTTAGGAAAATGATCTGAATAGGTCTGGGGGAAAGTAGGTCAAAGGTCAAGGAGATCAATTATGAAATTGCATGTTTAGCCTCGTTATAGAGATATTTCAGGAACCACTAAATGTATGAGCTTCAAACTTGGAGATAGTATTTATCGGTCACCACAGGAAGACAATCTGTCATAGTGGTCAAGTTTTTAAAATTACAGGTTTTAGCCTCATATTTCAAGAACCACTTCGGGTACGACTTTCAAATTTAGTGTTAGTGTCCATCACCAAAGTCAGATGATTATAGATTTTGGGATAAGTAGATCAAAGGCTAATTCATGGAGGTTAAATTTAATGAATTTCTAGGGTTTTAGTCCCATCATCACAATGTCTGGAGAACAATTGGAGCCATGAATTTCAAATTTGGTGTATATCCATCACCATAGTGAGGCAAACTTATTATATTTTGGGTTCGGAAGGTCAAAGGTCAGCAAGTCAATATACATGACAAAATTATCACCATATCAATAACTATTTTAGTGATTTTAGCTAGAAACGTAAAAGAAAAAAACCTTGTATCTACATCTACATGAGGTATGCGTCACCGTTGGAAAAATTATTCCAGTCATATTTATCTACAAGTACATGAATACACAAGTTACTCAGATTTTAAATGCCCTTTAAATTAAATGAAGTCATAAACATTCAGACAAACATGTAGGACTTTTTGTCTTTGAGTACATGCACCTAGTCGTAGGTGACACTATTAGCCTCAGGCCTTTACAATCCTTTCAGATATACCTTGTAAAGATCAAACTATGTTTACTTATATCACGTGAATATGGATTATCTATGTATTATTAGGAGGGCCATCAAGACTGTCAGAATCACAGACCAAACCTCCTTCAGCTGAAACGCAGACCAAACCATTTTCTCCTGAACTGGTTAAGCAGCGTGCAAAGGATTTCAAGTCCAGGTACAGGTCAACTGTATGTAATTATGATGATTCTGATGATGATTCTGATGAAGACTCTGTTAATGATTCTGATTCTGACGAGGATGATGATGATGTAAACATTTTTATTATTACTATTAAAAGTAGTAGGGATCCTTTTCTTCTTATATTATTATTATTACTATCACTATCATTATTATCGCCATCATTATTGTATTTACTGCCAGACTCTGCTTTATTTGGAATGATTACCCTTGCCAGAAAAATACCGCCCTCAGATCACCTGCAACTTGGGCAATTTGTTTCAAATGTTAATATCATAGGCAATGTTCTGATATCCCCAGGCTGTTATATTGCACAGCCGAGCACATAATACAAATTTGTAAGTGTCACTTGATAGCTTCTCAGCCAAAAAGATGTTCTCTAACTAATATCCTATCATTCCCAATTGATTTATTATTCATTTTACAGTACTGTCAGTGACATGGAGTTCCTGAAACTGGCCCATGCTATCGCTCCATCTTACTACAACGCTGTAGGGATATCTCTAGGGTTCTCCTATGCTCAACTACAGGCAATCCTGGTTGAGAATTTGAAGAACTACATCAATGCGTTACTGGATGTGTTTATGAAATGGAATGTCGTGCAGCAACCTCCACACTCAAATAAACGACAGCTTTTGGCAGACAAACTTCGAGAGATTGACTTAGATGGCCTATCGGACAGATTACTCAATGAACCTCTATTTCCAATCACCACAGGTAAATTACAGCAATACTAGTAGGCCAAAGGTCATAGAGGTCAGTTTAAGAAGTTACAGGTATTAGCCTCCTTATCGCGATATCTCAATGACAACTAGAGGTATCAACTTTCAAGGTTATGATAATACCACCTTAGGAAAATGATCTGAATAGGTCTGGGGGAAAGTAGGTCAAAGGTCAAGGAGATCAATTATGAAATTGCATGTTTAGCCTCGTTATAGAGATATTTCAGGAACCACTAAATGTATGAGCTTCAAACTTGGAGATAGTATTTATCGGTCACCACAGGAAGACAATCTGTCATAGTGGTCAAGTTTTTAAAATTACAGGTTTTAGCCTCATATTTCAAGAACCACTTCGGGTACGACTTTCAAATTTAGTGTTAGTGTCCATCACCAAAGTCAGATGATTATAGATTTTGGGATAAGTAGATCAAAGGCTAATTCATGGAGGTTAAATTTAATGAATTTCTAGGGTTTTAGTCCCATCATCACAATGTCTGGAGAACAATTGGAGCCATGAATTTCAAATTTGGTGTATATCCATCACCATAGTGAGGCAAACTTATTATATTTTGGGTTCGGAAGGTCAAAGGTCAGCAAGTCAATATACATGACAAAATTATCACCATATCAATAACTATTTTAGTGATTTTAGCTAGAAACATAAAAGAAAAAAACCTTGTATCTACATCTACATGAGGTATGCGTCACCGTTGGAAAAATTATTCCAGTCATATTTATCTACAAGTACATGAATACACAAGTTACTCAGATTTTAAATGCCCTTTAAATTAAATGAAGTCATAAACATTCAGACAAACATGTAGGACTTTTTGTCTTTGAGTACATGCACCTAGTCGTAGGTGACACTATTAGCCTCAGGCCTTTACAATCCTTTCAGATATACCTTGTAAAGATCAAACTATGTTTACTTATATCACGTGAATATGGATTATCTATGTATTATTAGGAGGGCCATCAAGACTGTCAGAATCACAGACCAAACCTCCTTCAGCTGAAACGCAGACCAAACCATTTTCTCCTGAACTGGTTAAGCAGCGTGCAAAGGATTTCAAGTCCAGGTACAGGTCAACTGTCTGTAATTATGATGATTCTGATGATGATTCTGATGAAGACTCTGTTAATGATTCTGATTCTGACGAGGATGATGATGATGTAAACATTTTTATTATTACTATTAAAAGTAGTAGGGATCCTTTTCTTCTTATATTATTATTATTACTATCACTATCATTATTATCGCCATCATTATTGTATTTACTGCCAGACTCTGCTTTATTTGGAATGATTACCCTTGCCAGAAAAATACCGCCCTCAGATCACCTGCTTCCTTTTTGGGGGCCACCTCCTATTTTTTTTTTTTTTTTTATTATTATTTTTTTTTTTTTTGAAAGAAAAAAAACATGAAAAGCACTGCTAAAATGTATTTCTGATTTTAAAAAAGAAAAAAAAAAATTGTCGGCCGCCATCTTGAAAAATAGCCTGAATGTCAAGAAAAATGTACGGAGCGGCCATTTTGAAAGAAAATAAAAATAAAAAAAAAGGGCCTCCTCCTTCCCATTTTTCGAAAAAACAGGAAGCTAAACATGTTTTTTTTTTAATTTGGCCTTATATAAAAATTTAAAAAACGATCCAACTGTACCGGTAGTTATTCTTTAAGCCACTGGAACTGCGTAGAGTTCCGTAGTGTGGCGTACCGACTACGCAGAAATTAGGCTGCGTATTAATGGGGAAATAGTCCCTGCGTAGGTTATGCGTAGGCTGGCGAAAAAAATTAAACAGGTTGAATTGTTTTCGTTCATCTTGCGTACCCCTTTCCGTCCCTCAGCATATAGTAACGTAGGCCAGCGTAGTTGTTACGCAACACTACGCAACTCTACGTATTGACCCCACGCCAATTAGTGACCCGCAAGTGTCACAAATAAAGTATTAAAAATATGCTCATCTGACCCTATACGCCTAAAACCCCCGAGCTTTCGGGGGTTTATGGCCCCTTGAAACCCGTGGACCCCACGCCTATATTATATATACACTCAACTCGCTGCGATCTGATCTCTCCCCCCCCCCCAACTTTGAAAAACGTAACCCCCGAGCTTTTGGGGGTTTATGGCCCCTTGAAACCCGTGGACCCCACGCCTATATTATATATACACTCAACTCAGGACCCGCGGAAATCCGCGGGATTCTAGAGGGGGTGCGCAGGCAAAAAATTAAGTTTTTTATTTCGGGGGCTCCATTTTAAATTTTAGGGAAATTTTCGGGGGCTCTTTTTTCTGGGGCTACTTTTTCATTAATTCATATAAGGATAGGCCTACACTTTGTTGAGATTTGTTTAGTAGGCTATTAGGTTTCAGGCTTCCTACTTCATAATTGCCTATTTAAAAAAAAAAACATTTTTCTAGTTCAATAACTAAGTTTTCATGCATTGATTTGATGCAAGAACTGTAACATAATAGACCCTAGATTGTGATTATTTCTGACCATGAATTTCGATAATCATTTTTCAAAGTAAAATTTTCACAGGAAAATCAAACAGTCTTTTAAAAACGTAGACATTAGAGTCTAGTAATACTTTTACTAATTCTAAGCTCAGGTTTCGTAAATCTATTCACGAAACTATATTGAAATCGCGGCAATAATGATGCAAACCAACAGATAACAATTTCAAAGTGTCAAATCTCTTCGACTCGAATTCAACTCACACACTTTCAACTGCAACTCAGCTCATCTCTCACACACACTACACAGTGGCAATGCACTGTCAGTTACGGTGATTTTGTCTGATTTTCTTTACTTTGAAGAAATGATTATCAAAATTACGTAAACATGGCGAGAACATCACAAAATAGGCTTTAATTTCATACCTCTATTTATGGAAACTTTATAATATTGCAGCAATCGTGAATTCGTGATGGAAATTGATGGTTGCAGTTTCGCGATGTTTAGTGGTTCATGGTCTAGATTCAGCTTCTACCGAAACAAAATCGACCGCCAAAAACTCGAGCCCTACGCTCCGTCTCGATCTCGCAACTGCGAAAATGTACGTGTTTTGGCGTACTTGCGTGCGACACGGTAAGCCAGGTAAGGTATGGAATATGGTTCGAGTTTTTTTTACGACCGATTTTTGTGTATACAATTTTATACGGATAGTCATCGGTCGTGTGTCTACGGATGCAATGTTGAATATCCATGAGGTATCTCTGTCGTCACGCATATCCTGCATTATGCATGTCGCGTCTGTTTTCGCCCTGGACGTCGACAGGGAGGAGGACCTCGGGCGGAGTATAGCCAATTCGATAGAGTGGACTCTCCCGCGGACGATGGCACCGGGCACGGGTACCCGGAGGGTAGGGTTCAGGAGGAGATAGCCGCACCAACTTGGGTCGGCGATCTCATTAAAAAACAATAGAATACAAAGGCTCGCGGAGACGTCGCGCCCCCCGCGGAGCCTTAGCGTATTACTTATATAGAGATTATTATCATTACTAGCAGGACCCGCGGAAATCCGCGGGATCCTAGAGGGGGCGGGGGGTGTAAATAGATATATAGAGACTGTCTAAATTAAAACCACCAAGAACTTTATTTGCCATTCAGGCCATTAAGAAATATACATGTTAAGCGTCCCCGCCCGCTTCCTTTTTGGGGGCCGCCTCCTATTTTTTTTTTTTTTTTTTTTTTTTGAAAGAAAAAAAACATGAAAAGCTATGCTAAAATGTATTTCTGATTTTAAAAAAGAAAAAAAAAAAATTGTCGGCCGCCATCTTGAAAAATAGCCCGAATGTCAGGGAAAATGTACGGAGCGGCCATTTTGAAAGAAAAAAAAAAAAAAAAGCGCCTCCTCCTTCCCATTTTTCAAAAAAACAGGACGCTATAAGCATGTTTTTTTTTAATTTGGCCTTATATTAAATTTTAAAAAACAATCCAACTGTACCGGTAGTTATTCTTTAAGCCACTGGAACTGCGTAGAGTTCCGTAGTGTGGCGTACCGACTACGCAGAAATTAGGCTGCGTATTAATGGGAAAATAGTCCCTGCGCAGGTTATGCGTAGGCTGGCGTACAGGTTTGCTTATGGTTGCTTACTGTGTGGAAAGCTTTTACTGCTTAGTCAATCTGGGGTAGGGTAGCGTACTGTTGCGTAAAAAGGCGTAATTTCTGCGTCAAGTTTCTACGCCGAAAGTACGCAAAAAAAATTAAACATGTTGAATTGTTTTCGTTCACCTTGCGTACCCCTTTCCGTCCCTCAGCATATAGTAACGTAGGCCAGCGTAGTTGGTACGCAACACTACGCAACTCTACGTATTGACCCCACGCCAATTAGTGACTCGCAAGTGTCACAAATAAAGTATTAAAAATATGCTCATCTGACCCTAATTAAACGCCTAAAACCCCCGAGCTTTCGGGGGTTAATGGCCCCTTGAAACCCGTGGACCCCACGCCTATATTATATATACACTCAACTCGCTGCGATCTGATCTCTCCCCCCCCCCCCCCCAACTTTGAAGAACGTAACCTCCGAGCTTTTGGGGGTTTATGGCCCCTTGAAACCCGTGGACCCCACGCCTATATTATATATACATGCAACTCAGGACCCGTGGAAATCTGCGGGATTCTAGAGGGGGGCGCAGGCAAAAAATTAAGTTTTTCATTTCAGGGGCTCCATTTCAAATTTTTGGGAAATTTTCGGGGGCTCTTTTTTCTGGGGCTACTTTTTCATTAATTCATATAAGGATAGGCCTACACTTTGTTGAGATTTGTTTAGTAGGCTATTAGGTTTCAGGCTTCCTACTTCATAATTGCCTATTTAAAAAAAACAACATTTTATTAGTTCAGTAACTAAGTTTTCATGCATTGATTTGATGCAAGAACTGTAACATAATAGACCCTAGATTGTGATTATTTCTGACCATGAATTTCGATAATCATTTTTCAAAGTAAAATTTTCACAGGAAAATCAAACAGTCTTTTAAAAACGTAGACATTAGAGTCTAGTAATACTTTTACTAATTCTAAGCTCAGGTTTCGTAAATCTATTCACGAAACTATATTGAAATCGCGGCAATAATGATGCAAACCAACAGATAACAATTTCAAAGTGTCAAATCTCTTCGACTCGAATTCAACTCGCACACTTTCAACTGCAACTCAGCTCATCTCACACACACTACACAGTGGCAATGCACTGTCAGTTACGGTGATTTTGTCTGATTTTCTTTACTTTGAAGAAATGATTATCAAAATTACGTAAACATGGCGAGAACATCACAAAATAGGCTTTAATTTCATACCTCTATTTATGGAAACTTTATAATATTGCAGCAATCGTGAATTCGTGATGGAAATTGATTGCAGTTTCGCGATGTTTAGTGGTTCATGGTCTAGATTCAGCTTCTACCGAAACAAAATCGACCGCCAAAAACTCGAGCCCTACGCTCCATCTCGATCTCGCAACTGCGAAAATGTACGTGTTTTGGCGTACTTGCGTGCGACATGGTAAGCCAGGTAAGGTATGGAATATGGTTCGAGTTTTTTTTACGACCGATTTTTGTGTATACAATTTTATACGGATAGTCATCGGTCGTGTGTCTACGGATGCAATGTTGAATATCCATGAGGTATCTCTGTCGTCACGCATATCCTGCATTATGCATGTCGCGTCTGTTTTCGCCCTGGACGTCGACACGGAGGAGGACCTCGGGCGGAGCATAGCCAATTCGATAGAGTAGACTCTCCCGCGGACGATGGCACCGGGCACGGGTACCCCGAGGGGAGGGTTCAGGAGGAGATAGCCGCACCAACTTGGGTCGGCGATCTCATTAAAAAACAATAGAATACAAAGGCCGGCGGAGACGTCATGCCCCCCCGCGGAGCCTTAGCGTATTACTATTATAGATTATCGACATCATTATTGTAATACTGCCAGACTCTGCTTTATTTGGAATGATTGCCCTTGCCAGAAAAATACCGCCCTCACCTGCAACTTGGGGCAATTTGTTTCAAATGTCATTATCACTGGCAATGTATTCTGATATCCCCAGGACGTTATATTGCAAGCTGGAGCACATAATACCAATTTGTAACTGTCACTTGATAGCTTCGCAGCCAATAAGATGTTCTCTAACTAATATCCTATCATTCCCAATTGATTTATTATTCATTTTTCAGTTCTGTCAGTGAAATGGAGTTCCTGAAGCTGGCCCGGGATATCGATCCATCTTACTACTACGATGTAGGGATATCTCTACGGTTCTCCCATGCTGAGCTAAAGGCAAACCTGATTGAGAATTTGAAGAACTTCAAAAATGCCTTACTTGATGTCTTTATGAAATGGAATGTCAAGCAGCAACCTCCACACTCAAACAAACGACAGCTTTTGGCAGACAAACTTCGAGAGATTGACTTGGGTGGCTTATCAGACAGATTACTCAATGGACCTCCAATTCCGAACAGGACAGGTAAATTAACAGATACTTTTTCTTGATGAACCAGAAATATATGCATGAAAGTAAGATTTTACCATGGATTTTACAATTTACAGATGTGTCAATTTTTATCAGGCCTCATGCAGGTATTTATGATTTACTCATGTAACTTTTTAAAGCCTAGAAGTTGTCTGGACACCAATGTAGGACATCTAGTTGGAGTGACAGTAGATAAAAAATAGTATTTTTGCTTTTTGTACGTTCATATGTAGGCTTTGAGTAAGTAGGTCAAAGGTCATAGAGGTGAGTTCATGAAATTTCATGTATTAGCCGCGTTATCCTGATATCTCAATAACCACTAGAGACATAACCTTCAAACTTTGTGGTAGTATGTATCACAATAGGGAGATGTTTTGAGTAGACTTTGAGCAAGTAGGTCAAAGGTCATAGAGGTCAATTTACGAAGTTACAGGTATTAGCCTCCTTATCGCGATATCTCAATGACCACTAGAGGTATTGACTTCTAAGGTTATGATATATATATCACCATAGGAAGATGATCTGAATAGGTCTGGGGGAAAGTAGGTCAAAGGTCAAGGAGATCAATTCTGAAATTAAAGGATTTAGCCTCATATGTCAAGAACCACTTGAGGTACGACCTTCAAATTTAGTGTTAGCGTGCATCACCAAATTATCTATGTATTATTATGTATTATTAGGAGGGCCATCAAGACTGTTAGAATCACAGACCAAACCTCCTTCAGCTGAAACTCAGACCAAACCATTTTCTTCTGAACTGGTTAAGCAGTGTGCAAAGGATTTCAAGTCCAGGTACAGGTCAACTGTCTGTAATTATGATGATTGTGATGATGATTGTGATGATGGTTCTGAAGATGATGATGAAAATGATAATAGTAATAATCATTATCATCATCATCATCATCATCAATTCTAGTAATAATAGTATTATTAGTATTATTATTAAAAGTAGTAGGGATCCTTCTCTTCTTATATTATTATTATTACTATTATCATTACTATCGACATAATTATTGTAATACTGCCAGACTCTGCTTTATTTGGAGTGATTACCCTTGCCATAAAAATACCGCCTCACCTGCAACTTGGGGCAATTTGTTTCAAATGGTATTATGACCGGCAAGGTATTCTGATATCCCCAGGCCGTTATATTGCAAGCTGGAGCACATAATACAAATTTGTAAGTGTCACTTGATGGCTTCGCAGCCAATAAGATGTTCTCTAACTAATTTCCTATCACTCCAAATTGATTTATTATTCATTTTACAGTACTGTCGGTGACATGGAGTTCCTGAAGCTGGCCCAGGATATCCATTCATCTTACTACATGGCTGTGGGGATATCTCTAGGGCTCTCCTATGCTCAGCTAGAGAACATCCTAAATGAGAAGTCGAATAACTATCCCAATGCATTTGTTGACGTATTCAAGAAATGGAATATCATGCAGCAACCTCCACACTCAAACAAACGAAAGCTTTTGGCAGACATACTACGAGAGATTGACTTGGAAGGCCTATCGGACAGATTGCTCAATGAACCTTTATTTCCAATCAGCACAGGTAAACAGAAATACTAATTCTTGTTACATCAGAAGACACAGAAAACCATGTATAAAAGTATATTCAGTTTTTACCAAAGAGATAGTGAGTGTTCTGTGTTCTATACATTTGCCACAATTTTCAGAAGTGTCAAATTCTCTCAGGCCCCATGCATGTTTTTATAATTTACTCATGTTACTTTTAAAGCCTAGAAGTTTTCTGGACACCAATGTAGGACATCTGGTGACAGCAGAATAAAAAAAATATATATGTTGGCTTTCTGTATGTGTACATGTTCTACAATTAAAATATTTTATTCTTTTGCATCATTCCATCATGTAATTATGCATCTTTTGTTTGCGGATTATCTGACAGTCTGTCCTGCTCTTTTGTTATCGGATATCCCAAGCTGTTTTAGCTGGAAACATAAACAAAAAAACCTTGTAACTTTATGTGGTATGCATCACTGTAGGAAAAACTATGTTTCAAACTATGTTTACCTATATCATGTTAATATGGATTATCTATGTATTTTAGGAGGGCCATCAAGACTGCTCGAATCACAGACCAAACCACTTTCTTCTGAACTGGTTGAGCGGTGTGCACATGATTTCAAGTTCAAGTACAGGTTAACTTTCTGTAAGATCAGAGCTGATCCTCTCAATCCTGCTTCCATTGTGCCGTTTAAAGACATGTACACCAATCTCGTCTTACACAAAGAACATGGGACAGAGAAGCGAATGCTAGATTACAATGATATCCTTGATCTCAAAGTCAATGGAGAGTTCCCTAAGCGAATAATGGTTCAGGGAGAGGCAGGGACTGGAAAAACTACATTTTGTGCTAAGATTGCCTGGGACTGGATGGAAGGGAGGCAATTCAGTCACTTTGTATGGGTCTTGATTGTTCCTCTACGTGAATTCAAGCAACACACTATTGGCGAGATTGCAAAGTCTTATCTAGCCAAAAGCAATCCAGCAACGGTTTCTCAGATTACTGAGTATATCCGGTCAAATCCTGACAAGGTATTCATCGCGTTTGATGGGCTAGACGAAGTCAGTAGCAAAATCGTGAAGACTGAATCTTGTGAATCACAGCCTACTGATCAAATGCAACTTCAGCCATCACAGCTTAGTGTCACCTCCTCAGAGGCATGTGGAAGCTCATCTGAGACTGATGATATTGGACTTGTAGATATTCTTTGTTCAGATCAACTTGCCTCTTGCCCAGTCTTGGTGACCACTCGCCCATGGAGAGCAGTAGAGATTAGATCAGATGGTGATCTAATGAAGCATTACACATTCATTCATGTTGAGGGTTTCACCAGAGAGAGTTTGTCAGTTTACATTCACAAATACTTTCCAAAGAATGATGATAAAGCAAATCATCTTATCCAGTTCATCAGTGAGAATGATGTTATATCTTTACACATGGCCCACTATCCTATATATGTAGCCATGTTGTGTCATATGTGGAAAGAAGTTGACGAGCAAAGACTAAAGGAAATGAAATCACTGGAAACTTTTTCTGAGATATTCAAAGAAATGATTGCCTTTCTAAAAGAATATTATGCCCAGAAAAAGGTGAAGAAAGTAGGCAGCCCCTCACATATTGCCTATATGAAACAAATTGATAAGCTCCTCGAACCGATTGCCAACCAGGCCCTCAATGGTCTGCTAGAAAATACCTTGGTTTTCGGTGAAGACGATTTAGAAATATGCCTAGAATCCAAGGACACTGCCTGTCGGGTCGGGATTTTGTCTCAGGAGGACAGAATTACAGCTGACATGGATACACATGCAAGGAGTTCTCATGTGCAATTGCCAGTCTTCTTCCCTCACGAACTGTTTCAGGAGTACATGGCTGGAATCCATCTTGCTTCCCTGTATGAATCAGATCGTAATGAATTCAACAGGCTGATTGAGCAAGTATTGCTGCCAAGGAAGGAGGAGTTTAGGCATCTCCTGTACTTCACTGTGTCACAGAACAAAAGTATTGCAACCCATGTAGTGAAGTCTATGCTTCAGGGACTAAGCATGGACTTGTGGGACATAGAAGAAGAGTTACCTTTCATTGTTGATGTAGCCTTCGAGAGTCAGGACCCAGATGTAGCAGCCTTACTGAAGGAGAGGGTTTCATCAGATGAGACTAAGCTGACTATATCACCAAACATGACAGCACACACTGTAGCAGGTTATGCATTCATTGGACCAAATGTGGTAAGTTTGATTATAGTTTCAGAGCAAAATTAGTCCATTTATTTCTGTACACGTTCTTACTTTTATATCTTTTGCAATTATGGACGGGTGCATCTCGACTAGCACAAGTGCTATTATCTGGCCCCTTTGATCAACCAAAAGCTTTTCTTCTTAATATGTAAATATCATTGTATGAAATGTATTGCTGTTGGAAATAAATAAAATCAAAGAGGTTTGAACTAGTGCTGTAAAGTCACGGTTATTTTAAATTCCGTGTTCAGAGCTCCGAGTCAAAACCGGGCGGCTTTCGGTTAAACAAAAATTACTCAGTTTTGCTGAGGTCGCCACTGATTGAAAGTAAGAATAGTAGAATACCACGCGCCCAACTTGCACCAGGTATCAGACTTCTAGGTCCAACGCAATTTCCATTCATTGCACTCAACCACTCATCAGTACGGTGTGATGTTATCGCCACTCTGCTTGTAAACACCGCCCCTGACAGCTGAATACTACTGCTTGTCACTTGGTTGTTATTTCTTGTTCAGTTTGTAAATATCCAGATTTTGACTGAAAGTACAAACTATGTATTTCACCCAGAGCTTGCCAAATTTGTTTATTGTGCAAGATAACCTGGGGCATGAGCTGGAGCCATTGACCTCATTATGGTTTGGGTGCGTTACGTGGTCACGTGAGCCAGCGTTATTTTTAGAGGCTATTGATCGTACTATTGTGCATGTATTTCGAGCCTGGGAACTTAGTTTTACGAGTCCACTTCTCAATCTGCAATCTTGCAATTGATTGTTATCGTGTAGATTGAACATTACAAGTTGGAGCTGACTTATGATGACTATAATGTCCGCAAAATTTGATTTATTAGCTTCATAAACAAAGTGACACCCAGTCATTGTTCCAATGCATGCCTGCCATTAAAGTCTCTGTGTAACAAAACCGTCAATTTGAAAGCGGTTAGTGCCGTGGATGGTTGTTTACTGGAGGGCTTAATGTTTGACCACAGCACTAGTTTAAACAGTAATAATTTGGAAACTGGAACTGCAATTATAGAATGATATTCATGCATTGATGCCCGTATTTCTATGTCTTTGAGCAGATTAATAAAGCAACAATTAGGGCACATCACTATGAACATGACAGACAAAGAAAGCGGACAAAATATACAGTTCCTCACAAAGGAACATCCCTTCACTGCTATTATTTTAACAGGTGAATATGCATGTGACACCTGTTCTACACATTTTTACATAATAGCGGTGAAGGGATGTTTCGTTTGTCTACCCGAGGAACTGTATATTTTGTCCGCTTTCTTTGTCAGTCATGTTCATAGTGCATGTCATTACGCACGTATGGTTTTTCATATACTTTGCCCTATATGGCCTTGCATGCTAAAATATGTGAAGCATATAGTGTGATACATTGTAATGCAGGGAAATGCAGGATATAAAATGGCATCTAAAACGTCCCGCTTGAGAGATTTTAATAATTTAGCTATGAGATGCCCTGAGTTTGGCCACTCAGAACATAATTTCAAGATAAAGAAAAATTCAAAGGGGCAAAGATCAGTCTGAAAATCAATTTCATAGCCAATACGTGTTACAGTTGGGCAGGAACCCTGCATAATCCGAAATGTGACCTGCTCTCTATTTCGATTTACTCCAAATTTTCTCACTGAACATATACGGTGTATGATATCATTTTCATTGCGGTCAAACTAACCCTAACCCTCATTTTGACCTCATTGTCATCCACACCAATGTACTAGCAAGTCTAGCATATGCCATGCATTGTGACCTGATGCATAGCAAATTCATTTTTTAATGCCTCCGCTACAAAGTAACCGGAGGCAATATGTTTTCGGGTTGTCCTTCCGTCTGTTCGTTTGGTGTCACGAGTTCAAAGGTCAAAGGTCATAGGGCTCAATTATATATGTACAGTATGCAAAAATAGCTTGTGATCGCATTACCATTAGAACCGATCGACGGATTACCATCAAACTCAAGACATGTATGTATCGTGCAGAGCCAATGAACTGAGTAGATTTGGAGGTCAAAGGTCATGGGACTTATTATGTATGCAAAAATAGTTTGTGAACGCATTCTTATTAGAGAACTGACGGATGGATTGCTATCAAACTTAGGACATGTATGTATCTTACAGAGCCAATGAATTAATTTGATTTTAGGGTCATGAGGTCAAAGGGTCATAGATGTATATGAAAATTATTTTGTCATCACGATATTCTGAGAACCTTTTAATGGATTACAATCAAACTTTAATTTTAAAAATGCTTCTGTTTTGGTTTGTAAATCGCTCTATAGCATAATTTTTGACTGTGCACAGTCGAAGTCCCATCTAATTTTATTCCTAATTCATTTAAATAATTGCAGTATTCCTAAAATGATGATTTTCTAAAATCCGGTGGAATCGCCACTAAGGCTGTGTCTTGGCTTCTCTACTTGCCGATTGTATTGATTTCACATGATGTCTAGCTATTAAGCTCTTTGTTAAATGGTTTAGGAAGATCAGAGACATCACCATAATTGGCGGATAAAGTTATAAATGTCTTGTTGGTTTCGAGAAACGGGCCCCATGTTCCTATTAACATAAATGATTAAGGTTTAAGTTACAAGATGATATTTAAGAACATGCAAGAAAAACTAAAATAAGTAATCTCTTTTGAAGCTCTTTTGAAGCCTGTCCTTAGACTTCTCTCCTTTTATTTTTGTCTAAGGATTCTCTGTTTAGTAAATGGTAAACTGTGATGAGTTATTCATAAACTGACATAAAAGTAATAATTTGATATGAAATGTTATGACTTTAGTTCTCCAGTTTATAACTTTTTTTCATTTCATTTTCCCTCTTATTCTCTTCAGTTCTAGCAGTGCAATTAGGGCAACTATTCATGCAGCTTACACATGTATGCCTAATATCCAAGTGAACATCTATATATGCTGTATCACATCTCAGTAATCATTTTCTCATTTTATACAGGATGAACTCAATATTGAGAGAGATTGTGGACCTACCACGTCACTCCATGTGGCAGAGATGATATGCTCCATGCCATCCTTGAAGGAAGTTTTTCTACATTGTGCATTCCATCAGGATTTTTTTGCAACACTTGCAAGGAAAGGAAAAGAATCAAAGGTATAGTTGATCAACTTGATCCACAATAGACCATTTTCGTAATGTACCGTAATCAAATTAAATGCCCAAATCTTGGGAAAGTGCCTCGTTACAAAAGATTTCATTCACCTGTCACAAATAATTGTATTTCAGTAGTTGCAGAATTCAAATTGCAGACCCAACCGGGTTGTTAGGTAGGACAGGCGGCACAGGCCATAATGTTTGCTCTACAATTAATATATGCAATTTGCATTCTGTTGAAATTCAATTATTTTCAACAGTTGAATGAAATCTTTTGTAACGATCGAGGCAATTACAAAGATTTGAGCATTAAATTTGATTACATTACAAAAATTGCCTATTGTGATGCATTTGTGAGTGTTTCCAGGAAGCTGTAATGAATGGAGATACAATCTCGAAAGAATTTCCCGTGGGAAATATATTCAAGATTAACTTGGCTTAACAAAAAGAAGTGTTACCCTCTCAGCCATAAAATCCATCAACAACTGTCCTTATCAATGCACAGATGCCCTCTGGCATTCCAAATATAAAGAAATGTTACGGTAGGGGAAACAAAAGACGCTCAGTGCCACAGGATCTCCATTACAGCTTCCTGGTGTTTCATTTAATTTCATTCCATTACCATCCCTCCCATTTTCTTTTCTACATTTGAACTTTCTGTAATTCTTTTGATTGTATTATATATGCTATTTCTTTTGACAGAATGTTATTTATTGATTGCCTTTAATTCACTGCTCTTTAATTCAATGCTCTGGCTCGTAATGTTATGAACCAAGGCAATATAACACTGAGTTCCTATTATCAGATGGTCATATCTCAGCCAACACTTAACATGTTCGATTGGTTTTCGACATTCCGACATTATTTTCGATGCTCTTTCAGAAAATGAAGAAAAAATGAGAAATTTAAGAAATAGATTTTTGATGACGTCACACTTCACCACTCTATTACCCCCCTCCCCCCCCCCCCGAAAATTACCCTGTATGACAATTACCCTCTGGAAATTACCCTTTAGGATAATCACCCCCTGTGTGTGTGGTGTGTGTATATGGTGGGGGGGGGGAGGGAGGAGTCTAACATGATATCTTGTCTTTTGGAAATTGTCCTCAGGGCCCCCCTCCCTGAGGACAATTTCCTAGCTAGATAATTTTTGTGGGAGGAGGGGGGTGATTGTCCTTTTGGTAGTGGATTTTTCATTGCGAAGTGTCTACTTTCATAGTATTGAGCGTATTTTGTTGTGAGGAAGTATATTTTTCTCGTCATTTGATTGATAGTTTATGTCGCAAGTGTCAACATATTCACGAACGCCACAACATCGGTAAGATTGACTGCCAGCTAGCTGTGCCGACCAGACCCGGTGGCAGTAGCTATCATCCCTGCTCGAGCGCTCTGCGAATAGCATTTTCGCTGGTCCTACTTTTGTCGTCATACACCTCTTATTTCCGTTAGAGCTATATACATCATGAGCTTTTCGCTGGTACTTCACCACTGTTTTGCGCTGCTCTCGGGATTGCCATTTTGAATTCTTTTTCCATTTGAATTCTTTTTCTCAACATTATGGAGGATCAAAAAACAACCAACCAAGAAGCCTCCACCATGGAAAAACTACAAAAGATTTTAACAAAATTATCTCTATTCGGAAAAAATCTTGAAAGCGGAAATATGCCATCTTCAGATCAATCAAATCCTTAGACTGCAGCTCCGGCAACGCGTACCCAATCTTCCTCTCCATCAACTTCTACAGCTTAAGTCAAACGCTCACTTGAGAAAACAGATGAGAATCAGCGCAAGAGTGGCAGGAGGCCCTCAAAGCCAAAGAAGGAAAGTAAGGAGAGTACTAGAGGACCAGATACTTACAGCAAAGAGAAATTTACATGTGAGTACTGTAAGAAAGAGGCTATGGATCTAATGATCGAATGTGAAGCATGTATGAAGTGGGCTAGACCGAAAGCTTCAGTCTCTCTAATCGTCGGTTGTTCCACTGAGACTACGTCTGGCTCCACTAGACCTCCGATTATAGAGACTGAAGTCTGGGGACCTCTTACTGTGAGGCACTGTACGGAACAAATGGTTCGGTTCGACCGGACCGCGATGAATGAGATATGCAACGAGATTTTCACTCTTTACATCCTCATACATGCTGCAATATGACAATAATTTAGAGTCTAATTAAAAATAACATATATATAGCTTATTTGACTTACGATAGCTTGCTCATTTAGATCCTAAATTAATGATTAATCCGAGAAAGACTCGTCGTCAACATTATCCGTCTTGGTTTTAGTTGATGAATATTCATTTTTTCTTTTCGAACGTCCAATAGCTACCGTAGCTACGTACGAGTCGGCCCAGCTTGACCAACGAACTCCCACGAAACGAGTGCTCTGATTGGCCATTTGGCTATGTTTTGGTAGGTGGACCCGGAAATATATCGGCCGCCGGGTAATATTTCGAATGCATGAACGTACCGTTTCACAGTTCGGAAATACAAATTGGATAATTCATATAAGTAAGTCCGTAAATTATACATTTAATATTAAGTTATCAAATTTTGATAACTGTAATTAGGACAAATGACATACCGACCTAATTTACATCTGATTTAGAAATCAGAAAATTAGACCTAGATCTAAATAAAGAAAATCGGGGAGAAAATTTTTTGACACAAAAAGCTGCCATTGTTGGCTATAGCTACCCCCGCGGTACGAGATCTCTGGGTTGCCATCTGTATTGGGGAATGACAACAAATGTCAGTTTTATTAAAGAAATGACCCAAATCAGATGGTTATTGCTGTCTAGAAGTGGGCATGCCTTCACTGCCAAGATGTTAGTGTTGAGGTGTTCAATGTACTGTCTAATACCTCCAATTTGCATTGGTTTGTAAGCGGTGTGAACATGGAGCCATTGAGGCTGCCAAAGAGGCGAGTCTTTGTGCAAGTGGAGACATCCCACAACTTAAAACTGGTTTGGTGGAGTAAATGATAATCGATGTCAGAAAGGATATTGGTGAGGTGAAGAATGAACTGAAGTGCATGCAGAAAGCTGCAGGTTCTGTTTATGCAGCAAAGTCATATTCTCAGGCGGCGTCAAGTGTTCCTGCCTCAGATGATAGCACTACAGATCCAGCACAGAATATAACCAAGAACAACAATGCTTCTGCTATTAAAGCAAAGGTCATGCCCCAAAGCTTGCATGATAGTGTGAATGTCATGGAGGAGATCATTGACAGAGATAGAAGGAAGAACAATTTTGTGATTTACAACCTGCAAGAATCTACCGCTGCTATAACTGCTGGTCGTGAAAGGGAAGAATTTAACTCTGTTAAAAGCCTAATCACTAGCGGGCTTAAAATCAGCGGCACTAAGATACAGAAAGTGACAAGGCTTGGCGGTCGCCGTCAACAAGAAGAAGGGTCTAGGCCAAGACCAAGAGTAATGCTTGTACGTCTTAAGGATAGTACACAAAGACATGAGATTCTGTCTTCGTCACGCAATCTACGAAAAACTGATACTTGGAACAAAACCCCATTTTAACGTAGGGAAAGACAGGCGACCTATATGAAGAGCTGAAGGAAAGAAAAAGTAACGGTGAGGTAGATTTGTTTTTGAAGAACTCAAAAATCGTCTCGCAAGCACGTAAAAACAGAGACCTGAAACTGGCCTGGAAGTTTCCTGCCCACATCACGTTCTGTCCCTGATCCTCTTCAATTGTGATTATGAATGCAGCTCTGTTATGCACATGCTTGGTGATTTATAAGAATGCAGTGAGAAATTAATACTAGTAAATAAAACATATGCATGGATAGATGAGCTGCTTAACTATATTAACAAACAATGCAGGTCCGTATTCAAACTTCATGTTGTCCAGTGTCCTACACCAGTCTTATCACATCGGCTAACGATTTTTGTAAACATTATTTTGATCAATAATCAATATCCAACATGCCCAAGTTTAATTGAAAGGGAGTATGTCTTGTGTTTCAGAAGTCAGAACTAATTTTGATAAAGGCTTGAACTTACCAAACTGTACCATAGCCACAAACATCATGACTTAGGGTTCTCTTGCAAATGAAATAAGCATTTGTTAATACCTTCAATACATTATTAGCAAATGCAGATTTTTATCTCCTCGTCGACGAAGTCGGAGGGGATATAGAAACGTTGCCGTCCGTCCTTCCGTGCGTGCGTGCGTCCGTAACAAATTTGGTTTCTGATCGAAAACTGCAGTAATGATTGACGGATTTTAATGAAATTTGATATGAAGGTATATGATATCAAAAAACATGCTAAATTTGATTGTGGAGTACGTAGGTCAAAGGTCATAGCTTATTAAATATGTGAAAAAATACACTATACAAATATGCAAAAAAATCAATTTAATACTCGCATATTTATGTTTAAATTTCAAAATCGCCTATTGCCGGAAATTCCTAATATAAACTTTGTTATTAATAGTGATGTTCACTTGTATTCTACTCGTCAGAAAAATGATTTACATTTATTTAAAGTTCGAACGACAAATGCACAAAATTCTTTCTATTTAAATGGTATTAAGGAATGGAATAATTTGAGTAATGATATTAAGGAAAGTACAACTCTATCTCGATTTAAATTACGATGTACACAGTTATTATTTAATGATTTATGTAAACAAGTTTGAGCTGAGGAGGATATTTTGAATGTATGTGTGTATGTATATGTGTGAGCGTGCATGTGTGTTTGTATCATGTTATTTTAAAGTTTTTAAACTGTATAATTTATGTGTAGTTTGTTTTTTCTTTTTAAGGCCCCACCACAAGCAATTTGCTTCTAAGGGTGTCCTTTACCGTATTATGTTAACTATGTTACTCATTTGTATGTACATGTTTCATTTTTATGGTTAAATAAAACTGAATAATGTAACATCTCGTTTCCGATTGATAACTTTAGTAATGTTTGACGGATTTTAATGAAATATGATATGAAGGTTCATGGTATCAAAACACAGCCTAAGTTTAATTTCGGAGT